ATTGACTTTGGTTTGTAACAAGAATGAATAATTACCAGCATTCCAGCAAATATCTCCTTTCCACCATTGCCGGAGGAAAACATACAAACAAATAACTCTATAATCCACATCTTTTTCCTATGTGATGCACTGAACAACCTCCCAAACAGTTGGTATTATTGCTTTATCTCTTTAAATACTATCCTTGGTGGAACAACCTGATATATAGTGTGTTGGATCGCAACTCTCATAACGCTTGGCCATTGGCCAGGGTGGCTAGGGATTATGGGAACCGTAGTCCAAATTATCTGGAGAACATTGACTGAAGAAAGCGCTTCCAGACGGCAGGTCAAGAGCACTAAATGCATTCTGCCAGCGAACCCAACTGCCTCACAGAGACCCACACTGATTTCATCTGCAACATTAAACACAAATGACAGAACATCAATGCAAAGTGGAGGCCTCTGACTTACAATTGAAACAGCTGGCATTTTGACTATGCCAAACGTACTTTCACTGGTGACCAGTGTGGTACAGATCCATGACTCACATCATAACAAGAACTACCACCTTTGCAAGGCAGGCTTTTCTATGTTCATTCAGAAGTAATTCCCCCAAACTTGCTTTTTAACATACCAGAGAATAAGATTAGAGCTAACAGCCTTAATTTACAGGAAAGTAGTTTTTGAGAATTTTGGCTTATTGCACCCCTTATAAACCCAAATCACAAACCAGGTTTCATTCTTGGTGACAGGTTTAGGAAGGAAAAGCTAGGGGACAAGTTCAGTTTTCAATCCCTGACAAAAATGGGATTCACTTCTGATTTACTACTGCATGTACATACTGTATATCCAGTATGTTTGAGACACAAAAGCAAAACAAGAAACATTGACCAGCTCCTTCTAACTCCACTCAGTTTCACATGTTTCCTTATATTACAAATCCTAATATTCTCCAAAAATCACAATTAACTATGCCAACTTGTTGAAATTCTCCTGGAAGTCACTTAATGCTATGTTACAACACCCCTGTGAAATCTTGTGCATTTCAACTCAAAGGTAAGTTTCGCTCTGCTCAATCCGAACTTCCACAAGGTTAAGTGATCAGAGACATTGTAGCCTTCTTTTTATTTTTATCTATTTCACTTATTTATATTTGCTCTTTATATGCCACCTTCCTCCCCACAGTGGACTCAAGGCAACCCACAACAATCAAAACTATATAATAATCAATTTTTAAAAAATAAAAACTATATTTTAAAAAATTTAAATTTGTCAGTACTAAAACCAAGATTAGAAACAATTTTTAAAACATTCTAAAATATTCAAATTCAATAAATCTAGCATTAGCAAGAACCCTATCTTTTGCTTAAAAGCTCACCTTTGTTACTTCTAGTAACAAAAGCATAACTGAAGTTTTTTCTCCCCCAGGCGTTTTCCTCCTACCACAACATATAAACTCATCCTCTCTGAAGAATCACAACAGGGTCTTTTTCTGGCCGTAATGTGAAACAGAGGTTGGTCACAGCTCAAAAGAAAAGAAAAGAACAAAAGAGAAGAGAAGAGCAGGAGAAGAAAAGGAGGAGAGGAGAGAAGAGAAAGGAAAAGAAAATAGAAGGGAAGGGAAGGAAATAAGCCACCTACATGCCCAAAAGATCTTAAAGATATTAACACACTAATATGCAATTCTCTGTGAAGAGAACGGCAGAAAGAGACAGAATGAAAGAGTTATTGACTTACCAACTCAGAACACGTCTGAGTTTGGAATTTATGCTGGCGCCAGGCCTGGTTGCTACGTGGATGGGAGACACCAGAAAAGTCCAGGGGTCTCCAGCTGGACCTTAGAGAGAATACCGCCTGAAGCGCTGGCGAGCGGCTGCCAGTCAGAGCAGAGATGCAAGACAGCTGCCTTCCCAGTGGCTATTTTAAACCCTGGAAATCCCTACCAATGGAGGCTAAGCTGGTCTCTCTTTAATTGCCCCAAAGACCTATATATTCAGGCAGGCCTTGACAGTTAGATCGGTTGTTACTGAGGGAGGCAATGGCTGGTAATGTTTTATTTCCACCGATGATAACATTTTTCATTGTACCTGGTTTTAATTGATTTTTTTTTTACTACTGCTAACTACCTCGAGTGTCATTCGTTGCAGGAAGTATGGTGCAATTTAGCAAAATAAATAATCAAAGATCGGTGCAAGTTGGTAAAGAAACACAGCAAACACTGCTTGTGCTAGCCCACCCACCCCCCAAATTCAAACACAGCACAAAATACTTATTCGCTTACTTTTATACAGTATTTATACCTGCTTCGCACTAAAAAGTAGCACCCAAGGTGGCTTATATTCATCATATGTAAACTAAATAGCTGGTGCTTGTTATAGTATGTGTAAAATAACAGTATGTGCAGAAAGCAGTTCAGAAATGGCCAAGAAACAGGCACCAGACACAAATTCCTGCCATTAGGGGAATGATCCAAGTATAACACAAGCAGAAATACCCATATGGCGTTCCCATAATAAACTGTGAAGAAATAAAAACAATGATGGGGGAGAAAGCCAGACAATAAACATCTTCCATGAGCTGAGCGGGTGATGCCTAATTTTAATACTCAGCATACGGATACTAATAGGTTAAGCCAGGTAAACACCGAGATTCCACAACTACAGCTTTGATGGGTTCGTTCCCTTTTAATATGCGGTTGTAACATTACAAGCTCTTATATTATGGTGCTTCAGAGTTTTCTGCCAAGGACAGGTTTTATAACAAGGCTTTGTACGCTGCGATTTGGACCTACCTGAAGGTCATCCATCCAAATGTTGTTTGTGTTCCAGTTTCATGAAAAGACTCATATGAGCAAGTCTTGAATGAGAGACTCTGGCAAGTCCTCAAGTCCACTTACCTGGAACAGGGTTGGCCATCTTTAACTCTCGTTAGAAAACAGGTATCATTTCCCTTTCCCACAAACAAAGGTGGCGTGCAAATACATCTACCCAGGAAGTCATCTCTCATCGTTCAATTGATTTTCCACATCTTTATTTTCTTTGACACCTTTATCCCCAATATCTCATTCTCTGTCGTGCAATCTCCAATTCTGCCTGCCTTTAGGATTACCAGCTATTCAGATATCCATGTCTAGACAAAAGTAATACTACAATAGCACTATTCAAGGCCATCATAATGTGATGGAATAATGCAACATTCAGGGCTTTTTATATTATATTCAGAGACTTCATCGAACAAGCACAGGATCTGCTATTGACCACCAACTTCCAAATCCTGAGAAACGTGTAAAAAGCAAAACAAAAAAACACTTATATTCATTACTATAAAGTCAGGCTTTAACAAGTGTGGGAGATGCATGATTAAATCTCATGGGCTGAGGAAGAGCATAGTAGACTCTATAATGAACGAAAGTTAGGTGGGCCATTTTGACTCTCCAGATGTTGTGGAACCGTAACTCTACATCTCCCTATAAAGAACAGCCAACAGTGAACAATTATGGGTGTTGCAGCCTAAGAACATCTGGAGGGCTACCATGGTTCACACCAGTTCTAGGTAGAGCTCTAACATATCACATGGCCCGCATCCCTCTTCCCATGGCTAGTAGGAGCAAAACAAGAAATGCAAAGTAAAGAGAGTTATAAAAATTCTGCAAAATGTAAGCAATGTATAACATCTGGAGATCTCAAGGGTTGGATACAGAATATATTCTGTAGATTGCCAGACATATTAAGACCAGGAAGTTTGCCAATATTTCAGTCATCATGATTGTGGTCTCACGGGTCTCAACTCAAGAAAGGCCTCCCATTTCAGCTGTCAACAAGATTCAGTCGTCACGTTTGCCTCAGCCAGAATTAGAGACCTAACTATTGTCCATAACAGGAGGTGATATAGACAGACTTTATCCTCACATAATTAGGCCTTCAAGGAAGGCTTCACAACACCATTCCCCCTTTTTTGGTTTGTTTTTCTTTTATTACATGCTCCTGAAATGAGAATGACTACCCAATCAATCAATCAACCAACCAACCAACCTACCTACCTACCTCCCTACCTACCTACCTCCCTACCTACCTACCTCCCTACCTACCTACCTCCCTACCTACCTACCTCCCTACCTACCTACCTCCCTACCTACCTACCTCCCTACCTACCTACCTCCCTACCTACCTACCTCCCTACCTACCTACCTCCCTACCTACCTACCTACCTACCAACCAACCAAGCCAAACGAAACCAAAACCAGATTTGCCAACCAACCAACCAACCCACCAACCAACACCAAGCCAAACGAAACCAAAACCAGATTCTTTATTTCACCATCCTCACCATGAACACAGCATGCAAAATCCAGCTGATGACAAGGGTGTAGTTGGCGTGCATCTCCTACTAACCTAGCCAAGGGTGAGGTATGATAGGGGCTGTAGCTCAACACCTGATGAGCCACAGGAAAGCCAGACTATATTACTTAAGACTTCAGGAAGGTAATCACTCAATGTGAAAGCTCCCAGGCACTAAACATTCTGCAAGCCGAATCATTTAAAAATCCGCAGTAGCATGGCTGGCAAAGGACGACAGCTAAATGAAAGAGCTTTCCATGCAGGCCATCAGCAACTAGAAGCCCCACCCCCCAGCCCACTCCTAACTCCCTCCAACGTTATCCACCTGAAGTCTGAAGAGGTGGTGGCTGTTCTCAGCATTATCATCTCATTTTGCTCTAAGCTTGGAAGTGTTATTCTCAGCTACAATTCCCCAAATCCCCCAGTGAACACTCCCCACAGGCTATGAGGTCGCGGGAGCTGTAATCCAAAAATAGTAACTTTCCCACGTTCGGATCCTCCTGTGACGTGTTGGTCAGGACTAACAAATGGGAGAAGGTTGGGTGGAGAGAAGCACCAATGGATGCTCCCTGACGTAAAACACAACAGACAAGTTATATGGGATCATCTATGTATACGCATGGACTTGGGGAGGAATGACGTGCAATGCAGAGGGACATGTCAGGGGCGCAGGTGGTTTTACCTGCAGGACCAGCTGCTGCCAGGCAGTGGCTAAGGGCTGGCCGCTGCCAATGTTGCACATGTTCACTCGGTCCGAGGGCTGATTGGCACGTTCAAGTTGCAGGGAGACATTGCGCCGCTCTTCTTCAAGGGCCCGGGTGAGCCGCTCGAAACGAGCCTCTTGCTCTTTAACGGAGGCTAAAATGCTGGCAGCGGACCTGATATCATAGTCATCCATGATTGAGCTCAAATCCCCTTGCCTGTTAACTGATAATGGGCAAATGACAAGGGTTTGGTAAAAGGGTGGGAGGAGGCACAGGTCAGAGGTCAGGAATTAAAAAGAGAGAGAGGCAAAAATGTTAATGACACCACTCCGTCACAAATTAGAAGATCTAAAAATAAATAAATAAATAAAGTGCAATTCAACCATGCACCCAACTGTTTTGGAAACACTTGATTTCCAGGCTGTTTTCATACTTCAAGAGCATTGCATCAGTTTTTTTTAATATGCACATCAGCTTTAACAGAATTTAGATTTAACTCACTGGGTAACTAGTGCTTCTTCTTTTTTCCTTAAAGCTTACTTCTGACAAGAGATGTTCATACTTTCCAGGAAAGTAATTTTACTATGCAAACAATAATCTCCTTTTAAGGCGACATTAGTTCCTCATTTTCTTCTCCCCTCCCCGAGCAGATCAATTATTTCTATACTTTTAAAATTCACATGTGGTGTCTTCTGCTTTTAATAGCACAGACGGATGTGAGTTAACTCTCTACAAGCTGTGAAAGCTGCATCTGAGAGGCCAGCTCGCACTTAGGCTCAATTTAGGGAGGTCCAAAGTTGGCTGTGGCTCGTTCGGACATCCCAGAAGTGTTTGGGAATGGAATGAGTAGGAAGGGCACTACATTAGTGTAACCCCAGAAATGAAAGCTATTTCAGGTTATGCTTTCTTCACATGTACAAAAAAGCACTTACCGAGTGCTAAAAAGCATAAACTCTTATTTGTTTATTTATGCATGCATTTAAATGAGAACAGCATAAGGATTCTGGGAATTGTAAACGAACACATCAGGAAGGTACTAGGTTAGGGGAGTGCCTAAAGCATTAGCAACAGTATTAGCATTTGTTCCCTTAAACTGGTGCTGGCTTTCTTTCTTTAAAAAAAGAGGTAAATCTATGGTGCTCAGTGGCAAGCTAAGTCTGCTCTAGGTAGTCATCCTTTCAGCATGCTCTTTTGCATAGCATTAGTAGATCCTTTGCATAGACAAGCTAATCGGTTAAGGATTGTCACATGCCGCAGTAGGCAGTTCATGCTGCAGCTTGCTATTTAGCACAGATAAGCAGGAGATATCATGGGCCGGAAAATGTAGCAGCTGCTGAGTGCCAAAATATTTTGAAGGAAAGGAATGAGTCAGACAAAGGTAGACTGTTGCGAACCTTGTTCGAAATGATGTCAGTGGGACCACAGAAAGGAACTGTGTGTAATCCTCACCAGCATCTCTGAGCCACAGAGATATTTAGTTTGCACTGACCTTGGCAAAGAAATAAAGCCACTGCAAGGTGAGACTATTCTTACTGAAGGACAATGCAGAGGACCCCTAGGAGTTTTTAATTGGGCCTCTTTTCTCTGAAGCTGCAAAAAGGAGGCTGGGGAAATCATCCCACTCCTAGAGCTTCATTCAACACACATGGCTGGATTATGATGCATGGATCATGGTGCTTCAGAAACAAAAAGAAGCATAGCCAGCTCCACTCAGCATGTGGACAGCGCTCCAGTAGAGCAAGGCTGAATTATCACTCAAAAGGCAGGAAAAGAGGGGCCATGAGGAATGTTTGTGAAACCACCTAGGATTCCCAGTTGAGAGTAGCTGGGTCACCGATACAGCCTATAAAGATGCTTGTGCAGTGCTCTGAGTCTTTAATTCAAAGAATCTACAATGTTATTTGTGAAGAAGTCTGGTGCATCTTCAAACTGTTTGCATTCTCTTGGCTTAAAATGAGAAGGCTGCAAATCGTTTGAAGATCCACCAAAATTAAAAGGAGAAGACCCCACTGTTGCACAAAAAAAAGGGTAAAGTCATGAAAACGATCTCTTAGAAGCCCTGTTTTCAAATACCGCATCATTACTTTCCTTACAATTTACTAGCACAGCCCAAAATATCCCGTGTGTGCAGGATAGGGGGAAAGTATCTCAAAACAGCAGCAAAAACATCTCCCTACATTTATTCTGTTTAGGTTTGGTTTGGTTAGATGAAGGACAAGGCTTTTGAAGTTGCAGCTACAGCATCAAACAACGTGTTACATTAAACGAGCAATTTTCACTTGTGTTTGTGTTTTCAACCCACAGTGGCGACATTGAGGAGTAGCACCGTAGCAGGGGTGAAGAAGGAAGTTGGCCACTCCATTCCAAATTCTGTAAAGTTCCCTGTCAGTCTTCTTACCATTTCAGATACTGTATATGCCAGCGTACAAGGCAACTTTTGGGGCCCAAAAAACATGCCTCTAAGTGGGGGAATCGTCTTGTACACCGGGTGCACTGAATGATGCGGGGCCGCGCTGGCCGGGGAGGAAGGCGGGCGGGCGGGCAGGCAGGCAGGCAGATGGAGGGAGATCAAACAACGTGTTACATTAAATGAACAATTTTCACTTGTGTTTGTGTTTTCAACCCACAGTGGTGACAGTGAAGAAGGAAGTTGGCCACTCCATTCCAAATGCTGTAAAGTTCCCTTCAGTCTTCTTACCATTTCAAATACTTTCAAATGGTATCTTGTTTTGATTTAACTCTTCCCACCTTGGGGCTGACAGCAATCACCAAAAGGATCTTGAATGCATAGAAATACATCAAGCCATGTCCAGCCAAAATGAAAGTAAATTGACAAGAGCCTTGAGGTCCTATAAAAACTGACACATTTCATTCAGCATGCTTTCTTGTGAACTGCTGCCCACTTCTTTAGCTACATCAATCCACCAAAAAAAAAAAATTCATGAGAATTAAACTAAGATGTAGTCTTTAACGGGCCACAAGGCACTTTGCAATTTTCGCTGTAGCAGAGCATCCTCTGGAAAAATTAAAATGGGAGTTCTCACATTCTTAAATCCCACAAAGGCAAGATTATAAATTTGCACGGAAGCCCTGTATGAAATACAGTAGGGCTGGGAAATGTTTCCATGGTACAGAACTGAAAGCCCATTTAGAGAGAAGAGTCTCAAGATCCCATATTCCATTCTATTTTCTATTTATTTTGCCGACTCTGATGCAGAGTGGAGTGGCCATTTAAGATATCCTGGGTGCCAGCATCTAATTTTCAACCCAGTGTTTGAAGAGTGATGTTAATCTTCAGACATGGGCTATTTTGGCTATAAGGAAGTAGAACTTGGCTGCATGACCCAGCAGAATCCTGTAACAGAAGCCCAACAGGGCAAGCTCGATATAATCAGCACTACAGCTACAGGCAAAATGCCATCATGTATATGAAGTCACCTTTTGTTTCTGTACCTTTCTACAATGGAGCACACATCTGACTTCCATGCCCTCTCTTGACACTATTATTCTAAATCCTTTGCTGTTGGCATCAGAGTCAAAGGATACGTACCTGTGCGAGCCTTTAACCTGCAGTTTCTTTTGTCCTCCATCATAAAATGGGGGGAAGGACCTTCCAATCTCTGAAGTGCTAATGCTACACTCTTAAAGAGCATGCCCCAGATATGTCCACATATGCAAAAATTAAAAGGTTTTCAACCATCTTTTCCTTCAACCCATATGAAAATCTCTGGTCTGCCTACAAGGGAGGGGAGGAACTCCTTTCTGTTTCTTTCTCGTGCTTATGTGCCCTCCCTTCCCTTCCCCCTCCCACTTTTTCAACATCTTACAATAGGGCCCTTGATGCTGCTTTATAGATTCTAAACTGGATGCTGTCTTTTAAGCCTACATTGTAGCCGTCAGGCATGGAGAGACCTGGGTTATGGCTGGCTATCCAAGAGGAATCCTGGATCTTTCTGCTCCATCACTCATTGAAAAGGCTGGAGCCGCATGTGCTCCCCCCCCCCAACGTGCTCTTCCACCGCCACCCCCTCCATCCACAGCCTTCTTCCAGAGCCAATGGGAAACTAAATCCATCAACTCTTCTATCCTTGTGCATTTGAGTGTATTAAACATACTGTGGCAGTTTCCAGTTGTGTGTGTGTTTGTGGGGGGTGGGGGGATATCCACCTCCTCTCATCCAGGGCCTCTTAAGCACTCACGAAGGATTCAGAAACAATCAAGACCTGTTCCAGATATCACTTCTGGCTCATTATAAACAGGACATGATGGCACCGATTAAAAGGCACTCAAAGAATTCGATTTTCAAGAAGCAAAACAAGACCATCAACCCTTTCATTTCTCTCTACTCCTGTGTGTGTGTGCGTTGCAGTGAAGACTCAAAAGCAGCAATTAATCCAGGATGTCTAGACAAGACGCACAACAATAAAAGGGGCCAAGGGGTCCCTTTCCAAAATGGTTGTGTTCACTTATTACAAGTTTTTTTAAAAAATGTTTGTGCCTAGTAAGAAACAAGGCTCTTGTGGAAGGGGAGCTTGCATGCTGCAAAGAGCACTTACAGAAGAGTAAACAAGAGCACTTACAAGGAGTGCTACAGGCATTCATTTGCTCTGCACAGACGCATTACATGAGCAATACACAGTTGCTCTTGTGTTCCCCTCCAAAGGGGCTCGAAATTTCAGACCTCCTCCATGGGATTGTTTACAAAATGGTCAAAGAAACCAAATGCACTCAGTTGCCTCCCCCTCTAAGAGTGGAACACAAAACAGCAAACGTATTGAAGGCTAGTGACTCTCTAGTGACTCTCTACCTCTCTGAGGACCTTGTCCCTGGTGGAAACTGACATGAACGGCCCTACTTATTCAACAGGACCAGAATCCACCCTGAACGGGCCTTCGTGAAGTGCTTTCCCTGTTTGATGGGTTTCTAGTCGCAAGCATGGCCACGTGGGTGAGTACATGACCAAGAAAAAAGACCCAAGGTGTGATAAGTGCTTGTGCTGGGTGGGACATTCTGGGAGTTGTGGTCCAGAAAAAGTAACTTTTCCAATACTTGGGTTGCTAGGGGGCCAGGAATGGTGTAAACAGAAGAGGGGACTCACAGCTGCAAACCTGAGCAGACCCCTTGCTGAGCCTGCTTTGAGCAAATCACGACTAAGGGTCTTATCAACCCATAAGATGGGCAGCTCACTTGTATGAGCGACCCTCGTAACTCTGCTACTCGAAGATTTCCTTGCATTGCAACCTTCTGTTGAGTTCCTGCCAATGAGAATTAGGACAGTCAGGTTCAACCCTCCTGCCTGACGGAATCATCCTCCCAAAAAACAAGCAAAACTCTTCCCCCGTCTCTTATGTTAACACACCAGAGAAAGGAGCTCTAGCATGGCTATTTGTCCTGACGCACCGGCATGCCTCCAGGACTGGCTTTCTCCAGGTTTAGAAGACGACGCTATGAGATCAGAGCTGTGAAGGGTTTGAACGAGAAACAGAAGTGTCTTCAATGCTGAAACCCCTCCACACCGGAAGTCTATCTTCTCACTACCTTCTTCTCCCAAGGTGTTGGCTTATGAGCCAGAAGATTCCAGCTTAGACGTCCTGGGATACTAAAGCATTCTCTGAGCCCTCGAAGCCAACAGCTGCCGAATCAAGCAAGGTTCCTTGGTTGAAAAAGACTGCTCCCAAGAAAAGTGGGTCTACCCCACCAAAAAAAGAGCTAAAGTCTTATCAAGACTTTGGTCAGCAGTTGCCTGCTGCTAAAACAACATTTCTGACGACTCATATGGCCCTCCAAGCACAGTTGCCCCACAAAGCTATCCTGCATGTTACTTAGAACATGAAGTTTGCCTTGCCTTGTCTTTCTGAAAATTGCATTGGCCTCTTTTTGCTTGCCTAATTGGGTCTTGTTCTCTTTCCTAGAGTCTGTGCATAAAAGCAAGAATATGTAGAAGCAGAATACCTAGCAGTGCATACAGCTGGGTACCATGTTGCTTTCTATTACGGATGAATCAAATTGGTCCACCTGATGTTTTTGGACTGCAGTTACCATCAACACTGACCGCTATAGCCGGTATAGGTGGTGGATGCTGGGAGCTGTAGTCCAACAATATATAGGAGGCCGTCTTTCCCCATTCCTGCTATGTAGTGTTGAAGAGGAAGCACTGATGGTTCCATTCTATTTACAATCAAATCAATAGTTTATGGGGCAGGTTAGATGAAGCTGCTACCACATTTCCCCCCAAACAGTGACACAATCCTCAAACAGCTTTCAAGGGCATGCAATTTCTCCATGCAATATTGGAAAACGTGCACTGAAAACCAAGCGATACACACCTAAGAAGATTAGGGAAGTCTCTATATTAGGGATGCTGGAGCATCACACCTTAAAATCTAGAGGAAATGGGGGGGTCAAGTGGAATCACCTGCAACAGAAGAGGGGGGAGAGAAAGGCAAGAAAGGTTAGTTGTCGAGGTGTTAGTCACTGGAAAACCCCTGTCTGTAAACACAGAAGCATTTTCTATTAGCAATGTAAACTAGGAATATAACAAAGAAACTCCAAAGGAAAGATCGCCCATCAGTCCAGTCTCACGAGCATTTGTGCAGCCCTGAACATAACAGTGGATTCTTCCAGACAGAGCCAACTGTAGCACTTTCTACCACTTCATTTTGTCCCTCCATTGCTCCTTTCTCCTGCAAAGCATAGGTTTTACCAGGATACCTCCCTCCATGAGCTTCAGAAGACCCAAGGAGTGTGGGCTGGATGAGACAACTGGAATAGGCTACCTTGAAGTCCAATCAATCCCCACCATTTTCTAATGTTTGGCCCCACCCTTCAGAGGTGGCAAGAGGAAATAAGAAAAAAGAAAATCCTTAGGGTTTAGCAAAATTTAGCGAGAGAAGAGAGACTCCATACTGTCCTGCTGACCTATGATCTATGACAACACAAAGCATACTAAGTGCATGGTGTGTAGGTGATAAAACTCACAAGCATAGGTAAAGTCAGACTTCCTACACCACCTGAGGGAGCACTCCTTCTAAAAATGTAGTGAGCAGAACCCATAGTTTGACCCCTGAGAACTGAATAGCCTTGTTCTTAAACACAATTTCCACTCATTTTGTCTCTTCCCAAACAACCAATTACAAGCAAAGGAGCAGACAGTTAGCACATGCACACTTCACATGCACAATAGCACTAAATGCTTGTCATACAATTTGCATTTCCAGCCTCAGCTGCCAATCATTCAATCCTGACAGAAAAGATCCATGGAAGGGGGGTGGGAATTGGCCAAACTTTTACTCCTGTTCCTTAAAGCAGTTTTGAGACTGGAAAATCACCCTCAGCTATAAAAGTGGAAGCAATAATAAAAAAAAAGTTTGCCAATGCTGCAAGCTAAAAGCTACTTCTCATGAGGCAAAGGCTTCACCTCTTTTCTTCACAATCTCTGTGCAGGACCAGAGAACTGCAAACGAGAGCTTCTCCATCATCTCCCCATGCCCTCTTCACCAGCGTGCATGACAGTTTACAGACTGAGCTGTATCACTATTTGTTTTAATCCAATTAGAATGTATTATGATTTGTGAAGCCAGTCATTAATACATCCCACCCAACAGAGAACAGTTCTATCTGGAGGGTCTCAGACGCTTGTCCAATACAGATGCCCTCTCTTGACACTGGAAATCAACTTGGTGGATTACCACTGCATTCCTGTGTCATGCAGGGACTATAAAAACTTACCAATACTGGCATTTCTAATCCAAAAAAGTCATTACACTTTCCCCGAGGTGAATCAATAACACTATGTTGGAGAAATCCTACTTTTTACTTTTTGCTACTCCATTACCATGGGCATCTCTAGTCAATGAAGTGGAGGAGCACACAGGAAAGTTCTGTGACAGGCAGTCAAGCTTCCAACCGGTTCTGTTCTTAATTTTAAATGAGAATTGTTCAATAGTCTGGCTGGTTATTCTGTCATTCGTTCTTTGCATTTTGGCTTGAAATATTTATATCCCGCCTCTCCCTCCAGTGAGCTCAGGGGGGAACATGCTATCTTCCTCTTCCTCTTTCCCCCATTTTACTTTCACAACAACAACACCCCTGTGAGGTGGACCAGGATGACCTAAGGCAACTCACTGAGTTTTACGGTTCACTGGGGATTAAATTTAGTTCTTCCAAATCTCCATCTGCAACACACTAAGCACTGCATATGCACTGGGGGGAAATCCTGGTGCCTTCAGAGGAAGATCAGCTGTGGCTTTACACTGACCACCATTGATCAGCTGAAATCCTGACAGCATGAAGCTTTTCAAAGCACACAAGTATTTATTTATGCTTCACACTCTTCCAGGACCACTTTCCAACCATAACAGTTTTCTTACGGTCATTTACACTAGACCATTCTGGGGTTTCTCTTCCTCTTGCTTGTCCTTCTACCATCTCTGGTGCAGTGGCGGAGAATTTAATTGCTCTCCTTCTACTGTATTTTAACTATATTTTTCATTTCAAGGATACTTATCTTTTCAACATTTATTGAAATGTTCTTTCATTAGCTACCCTGCGTTCCAGTAGAACAACAATGGTGAGACCTAAGAATATTAACCCAGCAAACAAATAAACGAGTATTATTATAAATGCAACCAGATGTTAACAACCAAGTTTAGAGATGGGCATTAGCCGCTGGTTCGACAGTTCGGCACGATTCGTGTCCTGGCTGAACAGGTAATCCACGATTGACCACTTCGCCCCCTCCAGTGAGTGTCCATTCAGCAACAGCACCCTGCTGAGACTCTTCTAGGAATTACCTCTAAGTGGCTGCCCACTGGAGTGGGGCGGGACCACAAACTGTGGGTCAGCTGTTCTGATGGGAAACAGACCATGGCAGACCGTCATGCCCATCTTCAATCAAATTTAAACAAACATGTTTAAACCAGCATTCTTTCTCTTTGTTTTGAACAGCTAAAGGAAACGATGTGGGTTAAAACCACTAGCACCGATGCTCAACCACATTTCTACAATTTGACACTGAAGTTGTAGCTTAAGGGCCTTTTCACGGTTGCTTTAAGCTGGTACAATGTTCTCAGAAGGAGCAGGCAAAGGTTAAAACGTGGACTAAGGCTGCAGTCCTAAAAACATTTCCAAGGGAATAATCTCCACTGAAGACTGATTTATTGCTGATGGGCAGGGAGCCATATAGGATTACACTATAATTGTCTGTGATTTTTGAGAAATTTTGAGTAAAAGAACTGAGTATCTTTCCCCCCCAATCAATGCAGCCTCCCATATAAGTCCCGCAAGAATGCATTGCTCACTTCTAAGACATTTTTATTTTAAGATTTTCCACAGTCTTTTTTTAAAAATTGTTGTTGTTCTTGGTGGTGGTGGTTAAATTTTGTATCTGTTATATAATGCCAGCCAATGTTTTTATAATCTTGATTGACTGTGCCTGGTGTTTTTGAATACTAATAATAATTTTTGAAATGGTGGAAATACAATCAAAGCCATAAACGCATGGGCAGTTCTAGTAATTAGATACCCAGCAGGAATAATAGATTAGAGCCAAAACAAATTCAAAGAATTGGATAAAAAAAGAACACGGAAACTAATGTACATGCATCATGCACTACAACCAAAAAGTGATGCGAACAGATTATATTTAATGGGAACATCAGGTAGGGAAGGTGTCAGAAAATGACAAAGTCAAGACCTTGTGGGATTTCTGGATCCAAATTGATAGACACCTTGAACATCACACCAGATGTAATAGTAATAGAATGAAGAAATGTCTGAAATTGCAATTTCAGGGGATGCCAGCGTTGAAGATAAAGAATTGGAAAAACTAACAAAATACGGAGACTTGGCAATCAAAACATCTCCCTTGTGGATGAAATAGACTTCAGTGGTCCCTGTAGTCATCAGGATTTTTGGAACAATATCAAGAAATTTCACATAGTATTACAAGCAGTTGTAGATTTCAGAAATAACACCACCAGAGCTACAAAAAACAGCAATATTAGAAACAGCATGCATACCGTGCCGATATTTAACAAATACTTCAGTTCTGAGTTAAAACTTTTATCTGTTATATAATATTAGTCAATGTTTTTATAATTTTGATTGACTGTGCCTGGTGATGATGGTGGTGGTGGTGGTGATGATGATGATGATCCATATGTTCCCTTCCAGCTCTGCAGTTCTAAGATTCATCATCATGATGTTTGCCTTAATTTCTGACTCATGAAGAGCTCTGTGTAAAATGTATAAATCAAGCCCAGTGCCCTGAATCCTCTCTCTCTCTCAATCTCTGCCAGCTCAAAATTGTCAACACGCCAGTATTTTTCCCTTCACAATCCCTAGATCAGCTCTCTCGCAACCACTGGTGGTAGGCTCTTGTCTAATCCAACTGTAATTATTTCCTTATTTTGAAATAAGACTGAAGACAATGTATCAAGTGCTCTGCAAAAGATTAAGTGTACCCTACATCTGCTGGAATGCTTTTCTTCCCTAATTTTGTAATTCTCATTTTCAAGAAAGTAATTAAGCTATTGCGGTGGTGTTTTTCATCATTATTATTGTTACTGCTCAATGGCCTGTTCTTCCTTTGTAAAACTGCATTCTTCCCCCTACTCCCCGTATGGACACATTCCGGCACGGCCCTCCCTCCTGAACTGAAATTAATTCAGGAATGAACAGTCATGCTTCTGCCATTCCCATGAGTAATGGACTTTGACATGGTAATCTCAGACTACTATTTGTAGGGTCAGCAAAACCATGCCTTTATTAGAATACCAATTGTTTAAAAAAATCTATGCACACACATATACACACAAACACACAAACACACACACACACACACACACACACACACACACACACACACACACACACACACAAAACTTCGCTGAAGCCA